CTTCAATTATTCAGCAAAATATTTCTTAAAAAAACTGTTGAGAAGCAGCTTTTCTCACTCCTTGTGAAATGAAATAAAAACCCTATTTAAAGGTTTGACATAAAAATGCAAGCAAGTTCTTTTATAAACCAGTCCAATACATTAATATTTTATTTATTTTTAATGGTTTATAAATACTTCTAAGTGTTAAACTGTTTTACAGACATTAATTTGTTAATCATCATCTCCATGCTATGAGGTTAGGATAATAGCGCTAAATGATATATGAGATTAAGTAACTTTGTATGGCATTATATTTACATTATCATATTCTGGTTTAACACTTCCCGATAGTTTGGCCAGATGTTAAGAGTTGTTATGTTAAATAAACAAACAAGTTAACAACAACGGAGCCAATGACTAATGTCTGGGAAATACTGGTTAAATTATTTTTTAAAAAAAATTTATTTATTTATTTATTTATTTATACAAGCACTGGGTACAGTCAGAAGCACGGGAGGATGAGAGAATTCACCAGAGCCAGAGCGGGGAACAGAACAGGCAGACCGACGAAGTACACTGCTGAGGGGAGCAGCGGGTGCAGCAGGAGAGGTCTGCACGCCATGGGACCCTTGCCAGCGGGTGGTGAGGGATCGAACTGGTGCTGCAGAGGCTGCGGGCAGCTTTGCAACCTAGCACTCAACCGCTGCGCCAGCGGGGAGGCCCTGGTTAAAATTTAGACTAATTTCAAGCTTTCTTGGATACATTTCCAATCTGTTCATGTAATGGCACATCTGCCAGAAAACACATAAGCAGTATTTCCCACACTTATTTGTCCCTGAAGGGTGACCATCTTGCTAAAGCAGTGTTTTATGAACTTTACCTTGTAAAGTGTGGATATATTTATTTTCTGAAATGTCTTTAAAAGATAAGCAGTTTGCAGACACCTGTTCTTTTTACTGCCTGCCAGATACATAACTGCCCTTGATTTTAATTCCAATAACTCTTAAGCAGGGTAAACACTTATCAACTTCAGAACCTGCTTTTTCTGAGGAAACCTGAATTTGAAAGAATAATGTATCCATACCATGGGCACTTTTCAATCTGCCCTATGCACTGATTGTTAAGGCAGCCCAATACCATGCATTTGAGCCCTCGTTTTATAGCTGATGAGCCAAGTAGTGATGAATCCATGACAAATTCAAGTTGGCAAAGCCAGACCTATAGTCCTCCCTCAGTACTCCCCGACCAGCTCAGATTTTCACTTAAACTGCACAAGAAGGTCTAGGTGGGGCCTTGCAGTCTCTGACAGAAGGCAGTGAGATTTAGCAGGAAGGACTCCACCATGAGAAGTGGTCTTATCAGCAGAGTAGCCTGAGTCTAATGTTAGTCACTTGAGATAGCTTAAGAGTGAGAAGGCAGGAAATGAGCACTCGATCAGCAGTGCCCTTGGAATATCTTGCCATTATCTCATTGTCAAACCCCATAAATACCTGTAGTGTGCAAGGCACTGGACCAAGCAAGGATGGAGGCAGACAGGATTTGCCATTTTGTTATTGCTGAGTCACAGTCATTCTACATCCTTTACAGGAGACTTTAAAGAAAGATCTGGATCTAGCCTTTGGGCTCCAGAGTCAGACTAGCAGGTGTGAGTTTGAGACAAGCTCTCCCTTGAGCTGTGGTATGACCTTGAGCCAGGTTCAAGCCATCTGGCCTGAGGTTCCTTATCTATAAGAGATTTGTTCAGAGGATCAAATGAGATAAAACACCTTGTAGGGAGCCTGGCCCACAATGGACAGTTCGTACTTGAGATTTTATTTACATGAGTCCTGTCTATTATTTTGAGATGCACTTTTTTATGTTGCTATCTTTGTTGTTGTTGTTATTTTTACCACAACAACCATCTTTAAGCATACAGTTCAGTAGTATCAACTAATTTCATTTGTTGTGTAATCATTACAACCATCCGTCTCCAAAACTTTTTATCTTGTAGAACAGAAACTCTGTACCCATTAAACAATAACATCTCCCCACCCCTCCAGTCCCTGCAACCATCATTCTATTTCTGTCTCATGCACTTGCCTATTCTAAATGCCTCATTTTTGGGGTGGGGGTTGGGGTTTGTGACTGACAGTTTACTTAATATAATGTCCTCAAGTTTCATTCATGCTGTACCAAATGTCAGAATTTCTCTCATTTTTAAGGCAGAGTAATAGTTTATTATATAGATATGCTACATTTGTTGCATACATTCATCCATCAATGAATTCTTGGGTTACTTCCACTTTAGGACTAGTATAAATAACGTAGCTATGAACATGGGTATACAAATATCTCTTTGATACCTTCTTTTGGGGAGAGATGCTTCTTCAAAGAATATTCCCTGGCTTTCAGGTACTTAATTATTTTCTATCATCCATTGGGATAGGGCTATAGGAGTACAGAATGATCATCAGATCTTAGGTCTAAATCATCAGAACTTCCCTATCAAAATTAGTACTTAAGGAATCAAGTTTTTTTATTAAAATATTGTTGTCGGTGAATGTATATTGACATGAAAAATGTTTACAATATGTAAAGTGGAAAATAGCAAAAGAATAGATGTTGCTCATTTTTGTAAAAAAAAAAATATATATTCAAACAGCTGATCTGTGTTATAGCTTAGTATAAGGAGCTCTAATATTTTTGTTGTCCTTCATTCAGCTCCATTCATTCTTAATATACATATATATAATATGTACTTTTTTTGTCTATATAACTACATAGTTGTGAACTATACCAACATTGTACTCGTTTATAAATATTCACAAGAGTATCACCCCAAAAGAATGAGATAAAATAAAAATCACTATAAGTTCTATCACTTCTCTCTGTACCCACATATTTCTTCACCATGCGGACTAGTAGAGTGGATTCTGAAGTTAGTCAAGCTGAGTTTGGTTCTAGACTCTACCTCACTGGGTAACAGTTTTGACTAAATTACTGAACATCACTAAGCTTTGGTTTCCTAAGTGTGAAAACAGGAATAATGGCAGTTCACACTTTAGAGTCCTCAAGTGGCTATCAGCACAAAATGTCTCTTTATAGTGCTTTACACGCCGCCTGGTTCATGGCAGGGACGAAGAAAGAAATGATTGTCACTATCATGATTAACAGTTGTGTCAGGATGGTGGGGATAAGAATGTTTACAATTTTCCTTCTTTGCATGTTATATGTTTTCACTTTTCAACTAGGCAAATATACTGCTTTTGTCAGAATTTTTGAGAGTTATATTTTAAGAAACTCAGAGCTTAGCATAGTAATCTTTTTTTTTAAACAGGATGGATTTTTTTTTTTTTAAGATTATTATTTATTTATACCAGCGCTGGGTACAGTTAGAAGCGCGGGAGTGAGAGAATTCACCAGAGCCAGAGGGAGCAGAGCAGGCAGAAGGACCGAAGTACACTGCTGAGAGGAGCAGCGGGTGGCAGGCGAGGTCTGCGCACCATGTGGGACCCTCCCCGGTGGCCGGGGATCAATCCGGCGCTGCAGAGGCTGCGGGCAGCTTCGCAACCCAGCGCTCAACTGCTGCGCCACGGGGAGGCCCTTACAGCTCCCGCACTGCACATTCTTCCAAAATGTATGTAAGATGTGTGGAGTAATACCTACTTCACCTAATGGAAACTTCCCACACCAAGGCTGAAAGCCTTTTCCTGCCACCACAGAGCAGCCAGCCAAGGATTGCCCGCAGCACGTGGGAGGCTCATCCAGAACCTGCTGGCGCCCAGGCCTGCCCAGTTGGCTGAGACGAGCTCTGAGAGCCTTTGTGAACAGGCTCATTCAGTTCTGGCCATAGGCGCATTAGGCTGGGCGGGCACAAAAGCAGCATTAAGACAGTGGAAACTACTGGGGAAAAGCTGTTCGCCGGGCGGTTTTCATGGGTGTGTGACTTGTCTCTACACAAGCCCCGAGCTGGAAGAGCCCCACTATTGGTTTGACACTCTTCTGTCACTGTTTTGAATTTCTCAATGATTTTTGATAAGGTGGTCCATGTTTCTTTTTTCACTAGGCCTCGCAAACTGTGAATCTGGCTCTGACCGTAGAAAGCAGGCATTGAGAAGGTTGGATGTTGACGGGTTGTTATAAAGGGTTTTCTTAGAGTATCTAAATAGGCCCTCCACTGAGAAAGGTGAAACCACAGAATGCTACAAACAGCTTTTTTGCATATATGACTGGGACCTCTTAGCACTTTCTGACTCCAATATGCATGATTCCTAGGCCTGGAGGATGGGAGTAACAATAATCAATACTTCATAGGGCTTTTGTAAGAATGGAAGGAGAAAATGCATGAGAGAGTTTAGAACAGTGCTGGCACCTGTAATTCCCATTTCTAAATGTTTCCTAAATATTCAGTCCCGTAATCCTTGTATCAACTCTTTGAACTGGGTAGTATTGTAGTATTAGCCTCATTTTACAGACGAGGAATTGAGGCCCAGAGAAGTTCAGTAAGTGGACAAGTCACACAGCTGTAAAATGCAGAGCTGTAATTCAAACCCAGGCTATGTGATGGCAGAGCTCTAGCCCCTTCATTATGCCCACTGTTTTTACCATTACTACTAGGCGCCAGGTATTCTTATACAGTTCTTCTACACTTGATACCATTTTATCCTCAAATGTAGTCCTGAAATCCTCATTCTGCAAAATGGGTGACCGAACCTGGGGACCAAGGTCTCATATCTGTTGGACATATGGTGAAACTTGGATTTGAAACCTCATCTTTTGAATTTTGCCCCCCCCCTTTCTTTCTACTTCATCATTCCTGTAAAGTTCATCCAGAAGATGCTAAAGGATCAGCTAGACTGGGTGATAATGCAATGCAGCTAGATGCTGAGGAGCTCTTGTCAGCTGAATTGGCACA